TAGAAATCTGGTGTTTAAGGGTTTCTTAGCAATCTCCTAATGTTCTGGTTTTGCATTCCTTTACCCTTTGAGGGTCTCCTGCATTCCGAGTAATTCTGGATGAATAAAAGGGACTGCTGACTATTTTGTCCTGCATTTCAAATTACACTCCTCCAGCTGCTTCATTTTCTCCTTTTGCCTGCATCTTACAACATGCTCGCCAGACTAATCAATGCCATCCTGTCGGGGGTGGTGTTGCACCTGCATTGGTCCCAGGATATTAGAGAGACAAAGTGAGTGAAGGGAGAGCTTGTATTGGACTGACTTCAGTTTGCTGAGAGGCAGAAGTTGGCCCTACAGCAGATATTACTTCCCCTACCTTCTCTCTCCAATACTTATAAGCTAACTCAGCTGACAGAAATGTCTGTTCTCCTGAACAGCATATCCGGGTCAGGGGTGGGAGAGAGGAAGGTGATGTCCTGTGGAGAAATGGGGCTGTTGTCCAATCCACAATTTGTGCCGCGCTCAGGGCCTGCCAGACCGGTTTGTTACATGTGGGCAGAAGTGCTGAGATAGCACAAATAGACCTGGTGGAGCTGGGGGTTGGGCAGAAGCCAATTGCTGAAAAGCTCAAGGAAAGAACATGTGAAGGCTAGGACTATAATAGAGTTTAAAGAGAAGCTAGATAATTTCATGGAGGTTAGGTCCATAAAAGGCTATTAGCCAGGGGATAAAATGGTGTCCTTGGCCTCTGTTTGTCAGAGGCTGGAGAGAGATGGCAGGAGACAAATCGCTTGATCACTGTCTTCGGTCCACCCTCTCTGGGGCACCTGGTGCTGGCCACTGTCGGCAGACAGGCTACTGGGCTAGAAGGACCTTTGGTCTGACCCAGTATGGCCATTCTTATGTTCTTATGTGGGGACACAATCCCGGCCGTGGCTGGAAGACTGAAATTCATGCCCGGCGGATTCACCGGCGGAGTAAAAGCAGAATGCAGACAGCCCGTGGAACAGAGGAGGAAGCAGGGCTCCCAGAGTAAAAAATCCAGCAGAAGTAGAATGTGGCAGGAAACACCCCTGCTACAGCCTGAGTGAGCAGCAATGCAGTGGGCAGCAATGCTTTTCCTTCTTCCTGCTCCATCGCTCCAGCATTGAGTCTGAAATAGCTGACATCACACGAGCGGCACTGATGCCTGAGGCCCAAATATTTGAAGGTATTCAGGCATTGCTGTGCTCAGCGCCGCAAAGCCTCACTGATTTAGGAGCCTAGGTCTCATTTTCAAAAGGGGTTTAGGCACTTAGGGGCCACAGTCCCACTGAGCATCACCAGAAGGGAGACCAGACTGGGCAGGGACGACAAAGAACACACACCTTAGAAATGTATGTGGCTTCCACAGAGAATCAGGAAAACTTTTTAACCTTGTGCTTAGGTGTTTACAAAATATTGCTGATTTTTAGGGAGAACTTTACAACTAAGCTGGGCTATTCTCCGGCTCAGCTGTTTCCAACACACAGCTTTTGCCCCCAGTATGACTGGCAGATAGCTCTACTATTAAGGGAGAACATTCTAGAATGTTCTGTCGCTTGCCTTATCTTCTAGAAAGTCTGGACACTGTCTGCTCTTTGCCAATGAAGCCAGGTTGGCCCGGTGTACGCATGCACAGCGCACCAGTGAATCTCACCTATTCTTTATTCAAACAGAATCAGCGACACTATTGTTCAGAGAAATCCCACATTCCATTTCAGGCATCCCTTCTCCCCATTCTTGCCCCCATACAATGCTAACCCATTGTGCTGTCAACATCCCTTTCCCATTATCAGTCCATACATCACTTCCTCCTATGATTGGTGACAACACTTCTCGTGCTCCAGGCTTTCTGGGTAGACTACAGATTCGTCTTCCCCGTCTATACAACAAAATCTGGCAAAAAATGATTGATGCTAATCATAAAGGAGATCTAGCTAGACCAAAGGCCAAGATTCCTTTATGGTTGGAGGTTCTCCATTCTTACACTATGTCTAGACTACAAGGTTTTGTTTTGTTCAAAAAAAAGTGGCCTTTTTTTTGGAAAAACTTCACCTGCATCTAGACTGCTGTCACGTTCTTTCAAAATTAAATTTAAAGAATGCAGCGGTTTTGTCGACAGCGGTAAAAAACTCTTTCAAAAAAGGCATTCGTGACTGCAAACAGGGCTTTTCCGAAAGAGAGCATCCAGATTGCCTAGGTTCTCTCTTTCGAAAAAGCAGATTGCTTTTTCGAAAAAGTTGTGGCTGTCTAGATGATCGCGTTCAAAAGAAGCTTTTTCGAAAGAAGCATGCAATCTAGATATACCCATAGAGACTCCCTCTTGAGATTCTGTATAGATTTGGCAGGGTTCTTTGTTAATGAATTGGTCCCTTTCCTCCTTCAGCAAAAGTCAAGGAAGAGAGAAATGAAAGAAAAATTCTACTGGGAAGGAAGGAGTTGGAGTTCTTCTAAAGAAAGTAAAAGTGAATAGCAATATACCCTGCCTTTGCATATAAGGAAGTAGACATCCCTGGAAGTCATACAAATTCACTTGCCCATCGACAACAATGTCAGAAGACAAAGAAGCAAAAATCAGAGTTTCCAGTTTTCCAGGATGTGGAATTGTATAGTGACAGGTGAGAAAGAAGTGCCATTAATATCATTACTGTTTTTTGAAGGTGCCAAAAATATCCCTAAAATTAAACAGACAACATTGCCGACGCGCAGAGAGGAGTGTTCTCCAGCATATACCTCCAAGAATGGAAAAATCTGCACTAGTAGATGAAAAAACTGGAGATAAAAGTAAAAATGTTCTGAATGAAAAAAATATATTAACAAAATCTCTACTTTGAAGCAGACCTTCTGAAAGCTATTAAATAATCTCTTTGCAACTGACTAGATGCAAGATTCCGAACATAAACTCCAATGGAGCCGTAACATTGCGAGAACATACGGGAGACCATACAAAGATTGTGCCTTAAGCTATGGAAGACTCTTACTACGGAAAATAGGTTGTTGTGAAGCTTTTTGTCATTGTCACCCATTAAGACATGGGATTTACTCCTGATTCTGAACTTCTGGCAAATAAAAATATTCCCAAATAAATTAGAAGCTACTCATCCACCACAGGTGTGCATCTGCTATATATTTGAGAGTTTGTCTGTGGGGGAGCAAGTCTGTCTGTCTGTCCAACCGTTTGTTCAAGAACTCCACCTACATGGTAAGAGCTAGGACCAGCAAATTCAGTAGGCAGCTTCCTCTTCTCGTAACTTAAAGCAAGGTCAGGGTTTGGTTGTGCGGGGGGAGGGAGTCTGAAGCTCCCTCCTCCCTGCAATGTGTACAGGGATGCATGACACCATACTGAAAAGGAGACAGAAGGCATCCTTTAGGGTGGGGTCGTGGGTTGCAGTTCCTCCTCCCCATTCATATGGGAACAGTGCTGGCTGTTCCCCTTCATCAGAGAGTGAGGGGAAAGTGCCCAAGTTTGCTGCATTCCTCACTTTGGCTGGGGAGTCAAGAGGGAGACAAACCTGGATCTGCCCGAGCCAAGGGACATGCACCCCTCCCTCAGCAGGTCCACTGGAGCTGCAATGGCCATAGAGAGGTGCCTCTCACCTAGCCTCATGCTGCTGCAGTGAGAGAGACCTAGGGTCGTCTTTCCTCCATGGGGCAGCCTGCATATTGGACTCCTCATCCCCAACTCCACCCCAAAGCACTAAAAGTTAAGGAGAGAGAGAGAGAGAGAGAGAGAGAGAGAGAGAGAGAGAGTGTGTATGAGAATTAAGGAGCTGCATAATGCCACGTAAATCTTCTACATCTGTGTAACTCTGTGTGTGTAAGAATCAATACCAACAAAAGAAAAATATACAGGTTGGAGTAATTCATGGAGAAAACCAGAGAAATCTGTTCAAAACTCAAATTCGATTTTAACTGCTTTCTAACAATGAGACAAGGACTGGTGATCTCGAGGGCAAAACGGATCCCCAAAAGAGCATGCACAAATCCCATGTCACAACCATGCTGCATCACTCAACTCCCTGCTGCCCCTGGGCTTGCGATCCTGCAAGACATCCGTGGGAATTCACTGTCACCATTCCAAGCATGCAAATGCTGGGGATGAGTGGTTCAACCACAAGGCTGCCTATAAATTCAGTGTTGGGGAAAAGGGAATTGAATCTAATGCGAGCAGGAGACCCATGGACACGGGTTTTACATTAAGAAAATAAAAGGATGCTGGAAATTCCTTATGATCCTCAGACAAGTGACAGTCAAGGAACACAAGTGCGGGAGACGTCTTTGAAGTGGGTGAGCAGTCACAATGTCATCTGGATAGAAGACATTCGACTCTGAGGTCTATCTATTTATTCCTCACTTGACCCATGTGCAGGATCATGTTTAATGCAAATAGCAGATAGGCCCACAAGATGAGCGACACTCTATCCCCTCTGTCTATTACAATAGGAAGATTAGTCCTTCCCTAGCTGCGTAGTAGAGGTGCTAGATAGGTGAGCCATGCTCCCAAATGCCACAAGAGTGGGAAGGGCCCATTCATAAGTATGCAGCGAGCCAAAAGAACAACGTTCGGCAGAGGTGGAGAGCTGGTGATTTTTCTGTTACTCAATTTAGATTGCTTTATAATAAGCAATTAATTACACAAGGGTGGCCTGTGGATTAGGTAAAGAGATGGTGCACTTTTTTTATGTTCTGGTTCCCATCTTTGTGTAAGCTCCGCTCTTGGCCTCCTTCGTTGCTACCTGGCTCGCTAGCCCATATCCAGTGTCAGCATTACATCTTTCCCCATCTTCTTTTTGATTCTTGGGTGCCACATTACTGGAAGATGAGAAAGCCTCTGATGGCTGATTTCGGAGGAGAACAAGGGGAGGCTCTGACATTTGTTTTACTCATCTAGTACCTCTATTAAGCAGGGAAGTGATCAGAACGGGTGGTAGCAGGGTAGAGAGAGAATGAGCCGTGCAGCTTTAGATTAGTTCCGTGCGACGCATTTCCCGTGGTACCTAGTGTTTCCTGAGCAGCATCCACATAGTGACTCTCTGCATGGTTTGCTTTTACTGGAAATGAGGGGAGAGTAAAGATTAGACCCGGAAGCAAATGCCAAACAGGAAACGTTGCTTATTGTTTTCTAGGTTTCAAAGCCAGCTGTTTGAATGGCCGCGTTTGTGATTGGACAGTAACATTTGCCCATTTAAGAAAAACTGTTGTTTGTTTGTTTCAGTGGGATTCCTGAAAGGAATTGCTCTGTAGTCAATAAACACTATTAGGAATGACCCCTTCTGTGCTCAGTGAGTTGCATTACTTCCCCAAATGTAGGCTTTACGGACAAAATTAGTCTATCAGATAGATCCTATCACCTACTTGGAAAAAAGGAGCCCCTCTAATTTCTTGTAAATAAATTTAATCGGATTTTTCAGTTTCTTGACCAGGTGGAGCCCATGTTAACATCGAAGGATAAACATGATTTCCTCCAAAGCCTTTCAAAAGGTTTATTTCTCTTCTTCCAATATTAAGTTATTATTTATTCCTTCTGTGCTTGCAACTGTGCAGTGTGAAATGGGGCATTAAAACCCACACGAGAGGAACGTGGCAAATCCCTCCATGCTAAGGAATTAGAATTTCAAAAGGCACAAAATCCCATTTTTCATATCAGTTGCAAATCAGGACCAAAAAACCCTCTAACTTTCTGGGGGAGCAATTATGGACTTGTTCATGAATCAATCAAGCTCCCATGGTATCTGATCTGAGTCACCCTCTGCTCTGTGCTCAGGGACTTTCCTACTACAGGTTGAACCTCTCTAGTCCAGCACCCTCGGGACCTGGTTGCTGCCGAACCAGAGAATTTGCCCGACCATGGGAGGTCAGTATTGTCTAGCAGCATTATCAACACGTCCACTACTTGCTAGGCTCTTAGAAGACATGTAGGGGTCAATTAGAGCTAAATAACAGCACAGAACACTGAGGGTGTGTCTAGACTACAGGGTTTTGTCGACAAAAGTGGACTTTTGTCGACAAAACTATACCTGCGTCTACACTACCGCTGAGTTCTGTCGACATAACGTCGACAAAACTCAGCAGTTTTGTCGACGCTGGTAAACCTCATTTTACAAGGCATAACGCCTTCTGTCGACAGAGTTTCTGTCGACAGAAGGTGTTATTGCATGTAAACTGTCCTTTGCGTCTACACTACCATGTCGACAAAGCAGATTGCTTTGTCGACAGAACTGAATGTGGTGTAGACGCTCTTTGTCGACAGTATCTGTCGTCAAAACTTCTGTCGACAAAAGCCTGTAGTCTAGACGTACCCCAAGAGTCAGGACTAGTGGCTGTAAACAAACTTTATGGGGCTGTAGAAAACTTGGCCACACCCATGATAAGTGGACATCCAGCTCCCTAAAATCATGCTGGACCACGGTTGCTGCCGGATCAGAGAGTGCCGGACTAGAGAATTTTAACATGTATTAGCCAGTCACCAAAATAACACGGAACTGCCTTCTCTTTGTAGAAAGGTTGTGGAGTAGCCCACGTGACGTAACCTGAAAATGCTTCAGACAGCTGTGCTCCGGTATTACTAGATGACTTTGCAAATCCCCCTTGTTTTATTAAATGTGAATTTGGAAGCCTGAGGAGCTCTGGTTTAGTACCAGAAGGAAGCTGCAAAATTCTTTCTGCTCTCTCGCATCCAATGCAAGTTCAAATAGAACCCATCCTCTCTTTCGTTAGGACTCTGCAATGAGCCCAGGGCACATAGACCCAGCATCCACATAAAGGGGATAGGTTAGCTGCCAGGGCAGTCATACAGCTGGGCTCTGCAGATAATATCATGGACACCAAATATCCAGCATGCACTGATTTGGAGAGACACACTGGTTACTTGGTTTCACGATCTCCTTTTCAGTCTCTAAGGGAAGCAGCAGCCCCTTCCTTTCAAATAATCTGCCCCCATTCCGGCAACTGATTATTCCCAGATGACACACTGTCACAGCATGACTATCAGACACCATTTTAATAACAACAACAGTCTAATGTTATAAATAACTACACACATATTTTGAAATAAATACATTGCAGAGGGACCCATCCTGCACCCATTCACGTTAACAGTGACTTCAATGGAATTGAGATGGGGAACCACAATGAACAGCTTGAAGATGATCTTTAAATCTGGTTGTGAGGGTTATTTACACTATTGCTGGTGACCCTGACTCATGCGGGGGCATGTAATCTACTCCTTCCAACTCTACAGGTCCCTAGAATTTTCCCTGGGTTTTTTTTTTTTTTTTTTACTCTCTTTTTGGTTGTCGGTTTTATTTTCATGCTGCCCAATCCTACCCTAAAAAATACAAAAGGAAGGGCATAAATCTCATCACAGATGCCTATAGGTCTGGGGTGGGCAATAATTTTTGACCAGGGGGCCACTTCAGAAATTTGTCCAGAAGGGGCGGGGCCAGGACACTTCATGTTTCCCCGCCCACAGACCCTGATTGGTCTGTGGGTGGGGAGCATGTGAAATCTGCCCTCACCCAGCTGAGGTTAACTCTTAAGTGCTGAACCCCTTGCAGGGCAGGAGGAGACTTTGCGTGTTTACCCCTGCCCCCAGGCCCTGATTGGCCTGGGGGCAGGGAAGGGAGCACGAAGTCTCTTGCTCTCTGCCCTCTGGCACGAGGCACTTAGAGTCAGCTGCCAGAGTTGACTCTAAACACTGTGTGCTCCCCCGTCCCTAGGGCCTGATTGGCCTGGAGCGGGGGAGCAGCAGGACCTCCACAGGCCTGATCAATCCACTTGGTGAGACAGATCTGGCCCACGGAGGCCCTTTTGTTCAGCATCTGTGGCAGGGGTGGGCAAACTAGTTTTAAAGAACATCTGATTTATATATTTCATATGGGAATCTCCATAGCCCTAGCTGGATCATAGATGGGACCCCTTAACTCTGTGGTCAAAAATAAGCAGAGACAAGATGCTACACTAAAATTTCAGCCTGGTTAGTACGTGAATAACCACATCCCATTATCCTATTTGACTAGTAAGCCTTGTTTTGTAGGCATCGTGAGAAAAATCACACCACAATCCTTCTGCTTCCCCATTGGCTATGAGGCAGGGCCAACTGGCTGTGCTTCCGTCTCCCCGTTGAAAGAGACACAAGAGAAGTGTGTTCTTTGAGAGGGAGCGATCACAGCTCATAAAGAGGCTGCTTCCCCTTCCCTGTCATAAGCCAATTGCAATGCAGATGGACAGTCAGTACCCAAAGCACTTTGCAACAGAGCAGCCTTTTTATGAGGAGTTTAAAAAAAAATGTAGACAAATACCAGCATGGTTTGTGTCCATCACAACCTGCCCTACAGGCCACAGAACTTATGTTTCTTAAGAGTTGATCAGCAAACAACTTCACAGTGCTTGGTCACGGGATGAATGCAGACAAGCTTGAGTGTCAAACAAAACAGAAATGGCAAAGCAAAGACAAAAGCCATCTCCAAGCTGCAGTGCCCAATTCAAATGCAAGGCAAAATAAATGACCTCCCTTAGTAATTAACAAAAAGAAGACACTAGAGAGTTGTATAGTAATATAAAAACCCTAAACAGCGTAACTGCATTATGTGTAAAGGGGCATGGACCAATGTTCTAATTTTTCCCCATGCATGTGTGGAATACATTTTGTGGTGTGCACTGACGTGTGGATGTGCACCACCAGTTGATACACATGCTGTCAGCTGCTACCAGACTTGAGCACTGTGCTAAGCAGCGGGGCGGAGTTTTCATCTCTGCTGGGTAGCGTTTTCATCTCTGCTGGGTGGCCGCCCGAGCGTAGAGCTTACAGGGAACACTGGCATTGACTGTCAATTCTGAACAGCCCCTAGTATATCGGGCTTTGATGCACGTTTGGAGCCCTTATGCCATAATATAAATAATCAACAAATTAATAATTGAATCCATGGGGGCGTAAGTGCACTGCATGTGAAATTAGAGGCAAGATCCTGCAGAGTATACACTGGCTTCTATGGGACTTTTTGGTGCTACTGAATGTGAGTAGGATATTCAGGTGTGTGTGTAAAGGGTCCCGACGTCTCTCTTGAAGGGAAAATTTCCTTATGGGCACTGAGAAGATTGGCAATTTCAGCCCTCCCATGGGAAGATGTGCTGCTCTCTGTGAACCGCCTTCATCCATTCTACAGCAGTGTCAGTGTAATGGGGTGGAAGGAAGGATTATTATGCTAGCAAAATATTGGGGGTGGGGGGAGGAAGATTTGGCTGCATTAAGGAGACTGTTGAGAATGATATGGAAGCTATTCTAAGGCCATTATGGAAGTAAACGGTACCCCCTCAACTCTGAATAATCCAGCGCAGCCACTTTCTTAGAAGAGTAACAAAAATGATTAGAGGCACGAGGGGAATATTATAAGAACTACGAAAACTTAGGAGTGCTAAGAAAGGAGACAGGTGAGGAAGTTATATTAAATAATGAACAGGAAAGAAAAGACCAACTGTGCCACTCCTATTTACTTCCCCCTTTAACATAAAAACAAAAAGGGTACTGGATACAATTAAAAGGGAAAAAATAAAACCACTAAAGAGAAATATTATTTTAACACGTGTATTAAGCTGTGAAATTTACTGCTGCAGATGCTAGTGAGATTAAAAGAAACATCTTCTACGATTAAGGATAGCATCTGCAGTTACCATTACACAGGCTAATATAAAATCACAAAGGGCTATCGATCCTCAGACTTCATGGTATAAACAGAACCTCAGCAGTGACCAAGTAGAGATTCTTCTCCATGGCACAAAAAGGTGCAGGCTGAGGATTTTATTTTTTCCTCTGAAGCACCCAACATATGGCACTGGCAAGTCAGGATACCGGATAAGCCAGATTCTTGGAATGACATCCCAGCTCCCCTGGATTCAGTGGTATCGGGGGCCAAGATTTGACACTTGGTCTCTTCCAGGAAAGCACTCACAGTGTTGTTCTCCTTGCTGGTGATATCTGAATTGGAATGGTGGCCGGGAGGTTGCGTTCCTTCTCACTGCAAAAAGGTTAGGCCACAAAGCAGGAGGAAATAAGAGCTGAATTGTGAAAATGTGATGGTGATTAGATTGATTTGGTAGCTTGTGGATGGAGAACTTTGGAGGTCCTCCTACATGCAAAGAAAAGCTCAGATGAGTGACAGGCAGGAGATAAAGTGGAAATAAAAGTAAAGCTGGGCATTTCATCTTCTTAGCTGGCAGCTTATCTACTTAAATCCCCTTTACCAGACTTTGTGCTAGGAAAAAATTCATGTTTCTAGCCCCTTCCATTGAAAAGTGTAGTGGGCCTTTACAGACAATACAACTCCACCATCCTTAGATGGTTCTGAGCATCTGAGAATTGTCTTGTTGTATCTGTAATGTTTGTGATTGCAACAAGTGTTTAGATCCAATAATAAAGTCTCCTTGACATACGTAGATCATAAACTGGTCAGATACGCAATTAACTATGTTGAGTTGGATAGTAAATGAGGAATATCTACTGTTATGCAAAAACATCTGTCACAAAACATTATTCCTAAATATTAGTAAGCATGCTCTAAAGCAGAGACTTCTGTGATCCAGTGGAAAGTACCCTAACTCTGTGCGATTCTAGACTTCGTTCCAATAGCTACTGTCAATCATGCTAATAGGATCCTCTGTGTTTTGCAGTGGTGGTTTGAAATAGGTATACAATATTATGCCAGTGCTCTATAATTGTATTGGGCCAAATCCTGAAGATTTTCTTAAGCAAAACTCCACCTCAACTCAATGAGTAAATCCACGGAATTTAGTCCGTCGAATAGAATCAGTTATTCCACAACTTGGTGCTGCAAAAGGAGCTAGCAGGGATATGTTAGAAGGTATTTGGAGCTGCTGAAGTAGAGGGCGATTGTATGGCATGGAGGACCAGCAGACATAGGGCAATGCTACATTTCTCCCAATCCATGGCCTGGCAGAGTTCTGAGGATGTGAGATAGAGCATGCTTTGCTTTTCTGGTACAAGGACAGAAGGATAGGTAGATGTAGAGCGGCAGGGGAACAGGACATAAAGCGTTTATATTGGCTCTGCATGATTCTTTCTGCTCCCTGATTCTGGAAAGAGAGGCATACAACAATCCCGTTTTCCCCTGTATCCTGGACACACCTCTGCCAAGAGCTCAGAAGAAATCAGTCTGTGACAAAACACATTTCTGAGGGCAAATTGGACACCCCTCAAACTTCACCTGATGCCAGTATAGCCCCCACAGCTACAAAATATAGCCCAGAGATACTGAAAAGAAGGAAAATCCAATGTCAGGCCCAGCGTTACAGATATGGATGACACACAGAGACATGTTCCATGGCACAGAACAAGCATGTACAACCACTATGCTTGTTGGCATGGTGCTCAGCTCCTTGCTGGTGCAGGCATACATAGCGCGCTCTCACACACGTGTAAAGCATGGGAATGGCATGTTGGCAGGGATACAGACCTGGGTGATGGCTCAGGCTGCTGCTCTTTCCTTTAAACAGAAGCAATAGCACATTAGCAGTGGTGTCAGGTGGGAAGGAGGCAGCTACCTTCCCTGTTAAAACACAATGAAAGGACTGTACCAAACAGTACAGGCTGAACCTCTCTAGTACGGCACTCTCAAAACCAGAGAATGTGCTGAACCATGGGAGGTCAATATTGTCCAATATTGATTTGTTTTAACTCTTCAGAGGGGTAGCTGAGTTAGTCTAACAGGAAAAACTCAAAAAACCACAAATAGTCTTTAAAGTGCTACTAGACTAACAAAACATGTAGCTTTCATGGCCACAATCCACTTCTTCAGATGACAGGAGTGTTGGAAGTCCAGATCCAAGAATAAATAAGGGGGGGGGGGGGGGGAGGAGAGAGAAGGGGAAAAAAAGGGAACTAGTCAATTAGAATCTCCATGCTACATGAAACTGATAGAGAAGTTGTAAATAGTTCTTAAGTACCCATTGTTTGCTTTTTAGGATGTGGAATGTAACGGGCCATCCAGTCAATGTTTTTATTCATACCCTTGTGATAGGAATCTAGAAAACCTGGAGGGGTAAATTAGAGCTAAGTAACAGCACAGAAAGCTGAGAGCCAGGACTGGTGGCTGTAAACAAACTTTATGGGACTGCAGGGATACTTGGCCACACCCACGCTAAGTGCACATCCAACTGACGGAAATCATGCCAGACCACGGATGTTGCTGGACCAGAGAGTAAGCCTCAACCTGTACAACCAAGTGAGGTGGGGCGAAGGGAGGGCACAGAGCACTTACTCCTGGGCCTTCTGGACTGGAGAGAAGATAGCCACAGATTCACACAACCTTGGGAGGAGACACCCAAGATGTACGGAGTTGAAAAGTCACAATGCCTGTGTCTTTGTGCACAGAGATTCCGATGCAGCCCTGAGTTCTACGCCACATGCATGAGCAAATGAGGGTTTTATAGGGCTAGCCAATGGTCGTGCTCCTTTGAAAATTTCGCTCCCTGAGTTTGATTCTAAACACTGATTTTCCCAGACCTTTCATAAGCTTTCCTTTCCGCTCTTAGGCTTAGAACTGACTGACAGGCTGTTCCAGGCATTTGCTGCCCCCTCCCAGTGGCCCTGCCTACACTTTGCACACCTCTCTCGGCAAAGAGGTCCTTTGAAGAAAAGCAAGTTTGGGCCTCCAGGAGTTATTTACAGAGACCTCTCAAGGATCGGGTGCTGGTAGAACCAGTGAGACTTGGTCCTCCTGTAGCTAGAAGGGCCAGGAGCAGGCAGAGGCCAATCAGGGCTCAGCGGGCAAGTTAAAAAGAATTGGCTGCATCTTTCAAGGGCCAGTTGTGGGTGAAGCTGTGACAGGGAAAGCAGGCTCTCCCTCTCTTCCATTGAAGAATCCTGGCCTGCCAGGGACCTAACATTATTTTGCTTGGCACAGCAAAGGGCTGTTTTCCTATGTTATGAAAGTCCAGGTAATCATTCTGAGCTGCATTAGTTTATTTTGCTGGCTTCCGTGGGCCTGTGACACTAACATCTAGGAGACGTTGTTTCATATTATCAAATTATCTTTGGCAACTGCTCTTTGAAAGAGGAGCACAAGCTAAGTCAATGAACTAAATGATACCTCTCAAATTTAGGTACAAAGCCAGAGGCCACGTTAAGGCCAGTCTGATGGTCTCACCGAGGGGTCCGATGAGATTCATGAACTTCACTCACCTCCTCCCTCTCCCCCCCAAAAAAGAGGCCTGGTGGTCTAGAGGCAGTTTTTAGCATTTCCACCCAGAAGAGCTGAATTTGATTTCTGGTCCTTGTCCCCCATTCTGCATGCCTACAGCTATTGGCCACTTGGTCCTTTGGAGAGAGGGAGGGACTCACATCTCCCAGTGAGTAGGGTTTTGCTGGAGCCAGAGCACCAGCTTGCTCTCTGGAAGTTCAGATCCAAATCCAGGGTCAGATTTCCTAAAACTCTAGGGGAAATACAAATGCAGATACCCCAGGCCTTGCTCTGCTTAGCAGTGACCACTGTAGGTAGTAAAAATGTGGCACCGATGTACGGGGTTGAAAAGTCACATCCAACTCCCCTTTAGAGAGCAACCATGATCCAGGGCCTGGAGGAACATATTTCAAAGATGCCATCTACAACCAAGCCAGAAGCCACGCCCACTCCTGGGATTAAACGTACAAATGGTAAAGTCCTTTAGTCAGGCATGTTAAGCTCCTGATGCTTTACCACATTTTCTGAAATATGAAATACCTCCAGAGGTCTTGAAAACTCCCAGCCCCCTTCGTCACTTTGCTCAGTCTGGCCAGGTAGCCAGAATGGGGACCATGATTAAGTACAATGCTGCAGCTTTCAGGGACTCCTTCTTGGGGCGGGGGGAGGGCGGCAGGCCGCCGAGGGTAGGGAGCTTTCTTAGTTAATGACAGGGGATCCTCTCTAAAAACCATTCTGAAGATACAAATTGCAGTGGGACACTCCTCAATTCAGTCCTTTCTAACAGGTCACAGAAAACCTACCGAAAATGTGTGGGTTGCTTTTGATTTATGTCCATTAATACCCATTGGCTGGTGTTTTTCACCTGGCTACTTAAGAAAAATAAATCTGTATATAGCATCCAGGCTTTCTGGCTGGGGGTTTTTCACCTGGCTACTTAAGAAAAATCAATCTGCATATAGCATCCAGGCTTTCTGGCTGGTAGAGGACAGACCCCAGCAAAAGTCCCTTCCATTTCTCAGCTACTAATTCAATGTGAGCAGTTCTGAGGAAGCAGCTGAAGTGTGAGATTTAGTGGGCTGCAGAAAGAGCAGCATGCTCCGTACATGGGTACATCAGATGAGTACATTATCATGGGTACATTATCTCACACCAGTGATAATCAGGAGTAACTTCACTTAAGTCAAGAGAATCAAGCCCTGTATCTCTTATTTACGTCAAGTAAAGGAATCGACTCCCGGCGTTACCTCACAAGATATTGCTTTCTCTTCTCAACTCAACACCCAGGGAACGTTTAATAGGAGACAATGTAGGGAAGAGTGATGCAAAGGGGTTTTCAAGTGTGGGGAGGGGGCGGAGCCAAAGCACTGTATGACCCGTTCCATACCAACATCCGGGTATCCAGAATTCCCAGGCCTGGGCAGGCAGATAGTTTGCTCACTGGGTGTTTTATGAGCTCTCCTAGCTCTGTTGCTAACCTGAAAGTCAGTCCTGATTTGCTCTTCAGGTTCCTCAGGAGTTCCAGCTGGTTCAGAGGCGGAATGAGTCTAAAGTGAGACAAAGAGAGACAGTTACATTCAGGCAGAAACAACATCACCCCTTCCTGTCACGGGAACTCCCCTCACCTCCCTCTTACTTGTAACCAATCCGAGTGTCCTGTCTGGGTTTGCCAACACTGGGGGGAAGGGCTTAAAGAGAGTGAACAAGAATAGGACTCTTTAGGCTACTTTTCAAAGTGCCCATAAGCAGGTGCAGCTGAGAAAGTGAGGCTGTGTCTACACCAGTCCTTTAGTCAGGCATGTTAAGCTCCTGATGCTTTACCACATTTTCTGAAACATGAAATAACTCCAGAGGTCTTGAAAACTCCCAGCCCCGGAGATACTCTGGTATCAGGGGAAAACTCTGCCGCCTCCAGGGAATGCATCTGCTCTTCCAAAATTTTTTTTGGCTTTTCCGGCATCCCTGTAAACCTTGTTTTATGAGGAAGAAGGGATGTTCCAAAAAAGGTTTCTTTCCCGGCATTTGGTCCAGTGTAGATGAGCCAAATGTTGGAAAAGCCTCTTCTACAAAAAGAAGCAGAAAAAGCTATGCAAATTGCGTTTCTGGAAGAACGGTGACGTGTAGACATAGCCAGAGAGAGAGATTTCACTTGCATTCTTGTATGTCTAAACTCTCCAAAGTTGAGCAGTGGCCATTGTTTCTAGGCAGTTCTGTGACGTTTGGCAAAGCAGGTGTTACAGCATATTAGTTAGCAGTTGGCACTACTTTGCTAGAGATACCCTGCAGCTGCAGGCCCCAGAGAGAAGGGCTGGCAGAGGTACTCAAAGTATACTACAGTGCGATCCTGTTGCCAGGGCTCCAAAAACTGGGGGTATCCTGGAGGGAGAGTCAGAATCATATAGCATGGCAGAATTCCAGAGGCTGAGAGAATCCAGGGAAACTAGCCTCAGTTTTTTACACTAAAAAACAAAACAAAAAACATCTTGGTTCAGCTTTGATTTGGTCAAATGTTTGATTCACATGTCCCGTGTCCTGGTGAAGACAAAATCGATGTATCCTAAAATAGAATTGCCCTGTATCCTAAGGTAGAATTGAGGCTTCTTCCTCATCTGGGATCTGAAACTTACTGAAAAAGACAGACCCTATCACACTGACCATCTGCTGATTCATGAAAAATGTTGCCTCTCTGGCTTTATCTTTCTACCAACATAAAATCTATTCAGGTGGAATGACACAGAAGGTATTAACTGTGCTGGCTGCCTTTATGTCCATTAGTAGGAGGGAAGGAGAAATGCTACAAAACGTACAGGGCAGAAAGAGTGCTCCTGTGACTCCATGAAACCTGTTGGGATCTGAGGGCGGCTCTATAAATACTTTACATTGCTATTCACAGTTGAGTTCTCAGCTGAGAGCACAGAGGACTGAAGGTGTCAGGAGACGGGACACACACGACGAGAAAGAGCAGCATCCACTTAAGCATCTGCTCAGGGACTCTGTGCTCAGGGTCAGATGGGACAAATCCACTATTTGTGACTTTCTTTGCATGACCCTGGTGTGTCCTTGTCAATGTTGGAAACGGTTCCTTCCAGCATGTCTTCCCAGAGGGCACGAAATCAGCACTGATAACAGATAACCAACCCTGCATCCTGCCAGTGACAACCAAAGGGTTTAGTGCGTACTGCTGGGAGGACGGAGAGGTCATGGTCAGGAGAGATCTAGAGACTCCCAGTGGAACAGCAGCATTATGTACATGCTTCACCTGGGCTGTTCTATCTGCTGTAGGCAGCCTTACCGGAGGCAGTGAGTGTATAATGCTCTTGCCTGAAATAAATGGGCCCAGATAAGAGACAGCAAAGCCTGGAACTTGTGTAAGGGCTCGACTTCACTATTGTGCTATAACAGCACAGCTGCATCCATGTCTGGGGAAGACGCCCTATGTCGATGGGAAAGCGCTCCCCTGTTGACGTAATTACTCCACTTTAACGGAAGGTGGCAGCTATGTCGGTGGGAGAATGTCTTTTGCCAACATGGCAGAGTGTAGACAGCACATTAAGTAGATGTAACTTATGTCACTCAGGGAGGTGGGGTGTTTTCCTACCCAGAGTGACATAAGTTACATTGTCTGAAGCAGCCATGTGGACAAGCCCTAGCTAGCCATATCCCTATGCAGCTCTTGGCATCCTAAGGTCTTGTCTACACTAACTACCACCAATAATCTAATCCTCGTGACTCCAGCTGTGCAAGAGCATAGCTGAAGTCAACGTACTTACTGCAGCATCTTGTGTGCGGTAATGTCAGTGGGGGCTGCTCTCCCATCAATGCCAGCTACGCTTCTCACCCTGGTGTACTGGCATCACTGGGAAAGTGCTCCAAGTTCAGTTTATCATGTCTAAGCAGACATGAGGGATCGATGGCCAGCGGATCGATCGTTGCCACGTCGAACCCTGGCATAGGGAGACAAGCTCAGAGGAAGAACATCAAGGAAGCTATGCTCATCCAATGGAGAGTCACCCACCCCGGACTGATGCCTCCTCCTTCTCAACACAAAAATTACCTCCCATATAGAAGCCGTCTGCGTTCTGTACAGATGTGCCATTCACAGCACAGATCTAACACTGGGCTCTACACTTCAAGTAAAGGAGATCCTGCATTTGCCATTAGCACTCGCTGGATTGATCTCTAGTAACTACAGGGCAAGAAGCATTCCAGCAGCTAGATTTTCCACATGGATTGGACTCCCCTGTCTTTCCCAGATAAGCTATCCCCCGGAACATAGACACTGGTCTGCATTTCTTAGACACCTTCTCAGTCAGTCTTGGAAGAAAGCAGGACATCATTTTGTTCACTGGTCTTCACTTTTAAATCATAAGGGTAACATTTTCTGTGGTCTTGCTTGGCTGACCGCATACGATTATAAGAGCATCTGAGCTATGTGCACAAATCTCACAATTAAAAGCACAATAGTCTATTCCATGACAATAACAATTGTGTGTGGGGGTGGATTGTGCACAAAATGGAAGTGATCACAAACTTTCTAGGCATAATTTAAGAGGTTGACACAAAAAATAGAGCCTCAAAAATTGGCCTGGTTTCTTTTATACAGAAGCACAGCCAAATTCCTCTTATAACTCTGAGCCAGAGTTTTGCTGAAACAGCCATCCTGGTGAGTTAGAGATCCTCCATCGGGGACAAACTGACCTCAGTGCAGTGGAGTAATGTGTGAAGTATTTCATCATTATGTCATCAAGTCAGCTAGTTGCGTTTGTAGATTCCTTGCAGGGTGGTATCCGAGCTGTGCACAAAATCAATCACACCATGTATTTGATTCTGACCAGAAGCTGTGCACCTAATTTGTTTTGTGTATTACTTTCAGCATCTTCAGTAAAACATCTGGCGACAGCCCTATTTTCAGCAGTAGGGTAGGCAAACTAGAAGGAGTCCAAATAGCATATCCAGAGTGACTTGGCAAGCCAGTAGTTCAACCAGAGCTAGGTCTCAAGATCTTCCTGTGGACTCCCAGTCACTTGGGCTGACCACAGGAACAAAGGCACTAGGTTCACATGTTGCTGAAAACAAATGACTCTCCATAGGACAGGTTCAACAGTGTGGCTTCCAAACACCAGCAGTTGAATGCAGCATTGAGTTTGCAAATGTCACCATGCGCTACAGCATACGGGCGGTGTTTTGGGGCACAAAAGAAGGAATATTTACTAGTCTTCTGGTGATTATCATTAGACACAGGAGCAAACCATGCTGAACCTAAAATCTAGATCCAAACACTGCTCTTCGGCCTCATTTGGAGCTCTCATGCCAACCCGAGCTGTTCTCTCAGGCCAGGTCTACACTAGACCTGGCACTTGGCTTATGGTACACATACTTTTAACGTGAGCTTGGTGGTGTCCTCAAAGCGGGAGGCTGACAGGAGCATTTCCTTCCATTGGCTTCCCTTACTCCCTGCAAAAGGAGGAGTACCGATGCTGGTGGGGGCACCCTCTGAGTTTGATTTAGCGAGTCTTAACTAGACTCGCTAAATCAAGCTCCAGAAGATCGATTGTGGCCATGGCAATCTTCCTTTCAGTGTAGACAAGGCCTCAGTGCAGGACTTTCATGTGGCTGTGGCTTTCATGTCTTCATAAAGCTCAGATGAGAAAAATGGAGGGCTCCGCTAACCACAAATAACATTGGTTTGGCTGAGTTTCACTAGACACGGTTGGGTCTTGACGTTTAGCACCTCTAAGAGTACGCCCCACACGGCAGGTGGGAGCGTGCCTCCCAGCTTGGCTAGACAGACATGCACTAGCATGCTACAAATAGTGGTCTGGGCCGTGACTCAGGCTAGCCACTGAAGTATGGACCCAGGGGGCCTTGCTGCTGTCAGGGCTGCAAAGCCCACATTGGTATTTTTAGTGCACCACTCAAGCAGAGCTGAGCGGGTCTATCTACACACATTGGGAGACACACTGACAGCTGCAGTATAGTCACTTGCAAGGTGCATGGTTCTGTTACAAGACCCATTAGGCAAGACGATGCACACACCAAGTTAATGCACACGGCTCATGCTACCCAACACAGCAACAGGTCAGAATTACTTCCCGCTGAGCAGGCCCCACTGATTCGTACCTGTAACTCCAGAGTTTATTTTCCCGTCTCTCCCTTTACATTGCCCACCCTGCTCTTGTTGATCCAGCACAAGACACACAACACTAACACCAGGCATTCCCTGCCCACAACAAAAGGAGCACAACATTACTGTTGCTGGGAGCACAAATATTCAACAGAGCCAGAACCGTGGAGTTCTCATGCCTCAAAGCTCTCTGATACAAAATACAATCCCATCACAAAAGACAACACAAGGAAGACAGCTGTACAAAGCAGTGCGTGCGCGCACACGCATGCACACACACACGCACACACATACACACACACAAATAGTCATTATTTCATAATGCAGCTCCAGGGAGGGAGAGAGGAAGACTGAGAAACAGAGCGATGTGTAGTAGATGTCAGAGCTAGGTGGAGTCCATGGTACCACAAGAAGCCCAAAACTAGAGGGAGAAAAATTGTTCTCCTTGACTTCTGATGACAGGACAAGAAGCAATGGGCTTAAATTTGCAGCAAGGGAGGTTTAGTTTGGACATTAGGAAAAAGTTTCTAACTGTCAGGGTGGTTAAACACTGGAATAAATTGCCTAGGGAGGTTGTGGAATCTCCATCACTGGAGACATTTAAGAGTAAGTTAGACAGACATCTCCCAGGTGGTGCTTGGTCCTGCCGTGAGGGCAGGGGACTGGACTTGATGACCTCTCCAGGTCCCTTCCAATTCTAGTGTTCTAGGATTCTATGAAATGTGGCTGTAAAACTTGCAACTGCCAAAACTGAGGCTGCTTTTGGAAAAACAGGCCTTAAATCAGATTGACATCAACATCAGTTCATTGACATCAATGCAGTTTATGTGGCTTTTCACTGTGGCAATGGAGAACAAAAACAGGAAATGCAAAACAGCAAATAGGGGACCACTACTGGCCTTCATAAAATAAGTATTAACTGCACTTTGGGATTTCCCTCATGTATAACAAACCCTTGTGATATGAAAATCCACATTTAAGTAGCAACTGGGATAATATTTATTCATAATAAATCTTTTACGTGTATCACATATATATCCTTTAACTTGGCAGGCCCCAAAAGGTTAGACCCACTGAACAAATTATTCAGACAGTTCACTCAGCTCTAGCTGAGATTCAAAGGGAAAAGCAACATCTACTGAATTGCCAATAATGCTCATAAACCTTGTGGAAGTTAAATTGCCCCTTCAATAGCTAGCATAGTCTGTCAGGTGAAGTCAAGAACAGTCACTTGGGTTTAACATGTCTTCATTAGTAGCTAGTGACCATAGCAGCTTCAACAACGAGTGGATTGAGGTAAGAAAGGGTTGGAGAGGAATAAAAAGGGGTGAAGAAGAGGAAAAGTTGTGAGATGGAAACAAAAAAAAGCAATGGGAAAAGGGTAGAAGAGAAGGGGAGTTTTCTGGTTAAATGTCCTATGAATTTGAAGATGCTCATAACTTGAGCTAAGAAAACCAAACTCATTTAGCAATCTCCTCTTCTCCTTCCTTATATTGCCACTTAGGTGTACTGTTTCCCGACAGCTGTGCAAACCACCGGTTAGAATGTTGATGAAGACGCATAGACATAGCCCACAGACAGTTGAGTGGGGAGGTTGATTTTGGAGCTTTTCTTTTAAAAAACCAAAACCAAAACCCCTGGGTTTTGGTTACATTACAAGCTTAGCACGTTATGGTCCCAGACGAAGGAGGAGTGACATAACATGGTTTCAGATTCACATGCACTTCATACCTGGAAGCACCATACGTTTGCGCTTGCGAGCTTTTCAAGTGTTTTCACCCAAGAAAACAAAAGGGATAAGAGAAAGAAAAACAGCAAAAGGGGTGGAAGGAGGGAGAAAAGAAAAAGAAGAAATAAAATTAGCATGTGAGCTACCTGTATTTCAATGAACAGGTGTACTGTGACCCAGGCTTACCGGTGGCTGGCCAATCTGAATGTTTTGGCTTTCTGAACCACAGTAGGACAACAAATTGCTGCACATCCATATCACCTTTCATAATGACTAGTGGAGGGTTTCTTCAAAAAGCAAAGGAGGGCAAAAAAAGACTAAGGCAGGACTGGCAGAGAAAAATCGATGTAAGAGTTGTAATTCCAGCTATGACAATTGCATTGCTGGAGTCAACGTATCTTATGTCGATTTTCTGAGGCCACAGCGAGAGGTCAATGGGAGAAACGCTTCTGTCGACTTCGTAAGGAATACATACCAAATGCCTACACATGCTGACTTGCCATTTGGGGGCGTTCATCCCATCTGGCTCCAAACTAGGTGACTTAGGCCATATTAAACATGTCGGAAAGACATGGTTTTGGTTTTACCCTTTGGGTGACAGTCACTGCACTGGACTACAGTACTATAATCAGCTTTTATACAGGTGGAGTTCGGTGGGAAAGGGAAGTGATAATGGCCGCCATTTGTGAGGGTCAGTAAATCCACATATTCCAAGGTCCCCACCCCTTGTGACCTCCAACTCTATCCTCTGGGCCAGCGTGTGCAGGACGAGTGGGGAAACCTCCTCTGAGAACCAGAGGTTATGCTGTTGTCTGGTCCTTCACACAGTGCCTCATTGCCTTAATCAGTCCCCTCTCCTGACACCCGCCCCCACTCACCATGACTGACGCTCATCCTTAATGGGTTTTGATTTAAAATGGCTCTGCTCTCTCATAGGCTAAATGGCAATTCAGTGCATCCCAAAGGTCTTTCTTTCACTGACCCGATTAGCTTTCCACCAGAATCTTAGCTTTTGGGCTGCACGAGGCAACCATTTGAACATTCGCTTCAGCGAATAGTCATTGACTAGGGTTTCACTGTACGCTGATCGGCTTATTCTTTCAAGCCTGATCCATCGCCCACTGAAATCAATAGCGGTGCATCCCTGGACCACAATGGACTTGGGATCAGATCCAATGCTCTCGCCCTTGCTGATAATCATTTAACCTCAATTAAAGGCAAGGAGAAGGGAGGACCAATAGCATGAGGGAGACTCCATGAATGAGCGTGAGGCTTTCGGGAAACTGGTTTTTAAAATAAAATGCTCAAGTGGGTTCATAAATGTCTTCAGCTAAATGAAACAAGCACAGGGAAGAAATCCAATACAACACTTGCTGTTCATTACAGTAATGTGACTTCCAGTGGACTTTTAAAATGGACTAACACACTGGCTGCAGGGTCGCTGATAGGCCCACCCGCCCTAGGAAACGTATCTGGATTATCGGCTTTGATTCCAACATGCACCGGGGAAGAAGAGAAACCGGGTTGATTTCTAAGAGACACCTCTTCTGTCTGACAGGTCCTCCCAGGTCACAGACCGACAGTGCCAATTCTGGACTAGGACATTCTCACATGGGACAAACAGGAAATCCCGGAGCCGTCTCAGTGCCCGGTGCAGACTGACAAGACAAGGGCTGGCACCATCATTCCATTCCCACTGTGGAGATACTGGGCCGGGCACGCTAAGCTGTGGGTGCGTAACTTGACACTCGTTTCTATTTTTAGCACCAAGGGAACTCCGCACGCCCCCACTTCTTGGCACTGCCATAACGTGGAGTATGCCGGCGGGGAAGCACAATCTGTTTCACCAGAGGATGGAGAGGGACTGCGGGAAAAGCACCCTACTGTTGCGAGTTCCAGCTCATCAGAGCTGGTTGCCTCACCCTGGTGACCTCCTAGGGTTTTCCTTGGGAATTCCAGCAAGTCCCACCCGGAAGGGAGTTCCACTCCGTTAGCCTCACTCTGCCTCAAATTACTGACGTGTCCCATGCTGCCTTCATGTCAGCAAGCGGTCATTCCATTTAAACAATGCTAGACCGACATGGATGCCGTTAAAAGGCGGTAGCTGCTGTCCCACCACGCAAGTCCCGTTTATTTCTCCCTGCTCTTCGGTCATTCCCACTTGTGCGGAGCCACTCCGGGTGGGAGGGAGGGGCCATTTCCCGCTGTGGGGCGAGGGAGATCTAGCCCGGGCACTGCCTATCAGTGGGGTGAGAATTGAGGATTCGTGTGTCCGCTCGCTGGAGGCTGCAGTGAGGATGGCGAGTCGGAGCCACGAGCCTTTTAAACAGCCACAGTGACCGCGGACAGCAGCCAGGCGCACGGTAGCAGCAGGGCTGGGAGCTGCAAGTGCTGTGGGCTGTAGGGGAGGTGACAGTGTGCGGAGATTGTGAAGGGAGGGATGGGGCCTGTTTGGAGGGTGCGTGAGGGGAAGGCTAGGCGGGGACAGGCTGGTGGGTGAGGGGAGGATGGGTGTGTGGAGGAGAGAAGAGGGCTGGATGAGGAGCGGCCGGGGGGCTGAGTGGAGACAGATGGAGTTGCCTCGATCCTGAGGGGATAGGTGGGAGCTGGCTGGGACAGAATGGTGCCCTTTGAGCCTGTCACCTTCAGTCCCTGCCAATGGCCCCTCCTCCCCGGATTCAGCATGGGGAACAGAGGGGCTGTCTGGAGAATAGACCCCACAACAGCTTCCAACTGCCGGGCAAAGCACCCACAGCCCTGCTGGACGTGCGCGAGGAGCCAGTGGGGCTGAGTCACCGCACAAGATGCTGGGCTCTTGGCAGCCCAGGGTTGCTCCCCTCTCCCCAACCCTGTAAGAGCTGCCGGGGCAGTTCAGGCTGCAGAAAGAGCTATTACAGAGCCCAGCCATTTCTCCTAGGGGTCTGAAACTGGGAAAGCTGAGACGTCAAACTTATCCGCAGGCGTCTGATAGGCTGAGCTACGCCTCAGGTCTTCCATAAGCGCTGTACCCCCTGGCAGAAGAGCTACGGAAGATGCCTGGGCGTGCAAGCTGTTTGTTAGGGGACACACTTTTCTGCTGCCCTCTCCTAGTCGGAGATGCCAGAGATCTCACTGGGGCAGTAGGAGGCCTGCCTACTGACATCCTTCGCTGTCACTCTGACAGACACGGTTCTCAAAGGCCTCAGAGACAAGTGTGGGTTTCGGGCTCGGACCACCGTCTCCCTGGGGCAGTCCCTGTCAGAAAGCATCGGCTTGCGGAGAAGGCGGCCATGAAGAGTCTTTCCTGCCACAACCGCCTGACTGCGGGTTTCCCTCCTCCGGCAGGCATTCGCCCGGCCTCAGGAGTTGAGGGGACAGAGCTGGGAAGGCTTGGACTCCCCAGACGGAGAGATGCGTGCAGTTTAATTTCTGACTCGTAAGATACCAACGCTAAATACCAACTTGGTTGCCCTGGGGCCTCGTCTTCTCTACACCCCACTAGCCCCGGTGGACTCAGAGGAGGAGGCAGACCACGTGGAAGATAATCAGCCCTCGAGGCAGCAGTGACCAAAGTGCTGCACCATGGGAGAATGGCAGGAGCCACCAAGGGTGAGAGCAGAAGTCTGCTGAAAGGCAGAAGAACCATTAGAACAGGGCTGGGCAAAATGCGGCCCCGGGGCCGGATCCGGCCCAAATAACAATTTGATCCAGCACAGTCTGCTGAAAGGCAGAAGAACCATTAAAACAGGGCTGGGCAAAATGCAGCCCCGGGGCCGGATCCGGCCCAAATAACAATTTGATCCAGCACCTGGACTGCATCTGGCCGCTTACTATTTATGGCCTGCTGCCCATGCCACTGAATTTCCAGGAGGTGGCTCAGGCAGCAGGATCCTATTTAAATGGCTCACGGTTGCAGTGCTACCCCGGCAGGGTCAGAGCCGTGAGACTTTTAAACAGTTACTGCAACCCGGGGCAGCAGCCAGGCAACACGATAGCGGCAGGGCCAGGAGCTTCGAGTCCTTTGCTGCTTTTTCAATGCAAAGCATCCTGGCTAGGTAATACTGGGGAGGCTAGCTCCTAGCCCCACCTCTTCCAGCCACGGCCCCGCCCCTTCCAGGTGACCCCGGAGCTGGCCTGTGACCACGTAGCAAAACTCATGAATTTTGCAAAAATGATTGCCCACCCCTGCATTAGAATCTGTACAACGACACAATGCAACTCAGCACTCAGATCTGCATGGCAGGGCAACAGACGCGTTTACCTTCTTGCCAAGGCTGCTCTGGAGGAGGTCTTCACACACTGCTGTAGCAACTGTCACAACACAATGCAACTACCAACGGATGCCGAGAAACAAAGGTGAAAACAACAACGCACACAAAAGAAAAGACAATTAATACCATGGACATGAAAATAAAGCAAAAAATACAACACAAAAAAAAGAAACTTAAAATTACACCTGCCCTTGCAAGGTTTTGAAATTAAATAAAAAAAAAATAGTTTTCAATTAACATAACATACGAATGGGCTGGATGGAGTCATGGGCACCACGAAGCAGGAACCTGTAAGGAGGAGTTGAAAGCATGTACCTGTACATGGGAACGGTGACTGTCCGTTCATAGTACTGCCAGGTAGAGTGCAGGTCCGTCCGAGAGAGGCTGGTGGCGTAGAATCTCCAAGCAGCCTGTGGAGAAGGCAACTGTACATGTCAGTGAAAAACAACGAACCTACAACCATTCTTCCCACCCCAACCCTCAATCCACAGCAAGAGAAGCACGATCAGCAGATTCGTCACAGGCCCAAAGCGCTAGCCAGCGGCTGATGCTAAAATTCTCCTCCGGGCTCAGACCAAGGTTTTAAAAAGAGATGACCAGACCTCTTTGCGATTGGATGTGCACAGTAATGACTGGTGCTGCCAATCAGTGAACAGTTAAAAATGGCAAATGCATCCCTGGTGCATGGCACCCACCTCTGAAAATGCTGCCCTCGCTTTTTGGCCGGTTACATTTAACACAAAACGGACAAGTCTTAAAAGGTGATGGTGAGAGGCCCTGGTGCCCACAAAGGGGAGCCGTGGGTGTCCCGCACCTCTGAAAATGTGACTTTCCAGCCTCTCAGAGAATGGCATCATGATAGTCAATATCCAGTCAGCTGAGAGGCACATCAAAGTTTTCAAGTTAAAGGAGCACAAGGTGCACCAGCTGTTTAGCCACGTAGCTGAAAGCTTCTCTGCTGCCTAAATCCAAGGATTCAGTCTGTCCACAGATCCACTCTTATGCCTGGTCTACACTAGACCAGCTTACGGTATGCAAAACACGTAGGTGGATTCGGCTTACCTCAAGCTGAGCCATGGCAGCATCTACACTGCAGGAGGTCAACGGGAGCACAAACTCCCGTCAGCTTCCCTTATTTCTCGCAGAATGAGGTGTACCGGACGCTTGCAGGGGCTGCCCTCAGTGTTCGATTGTGGGGTCTACACTAGACCTACAAAATCGAATGCTGGAAGATCAACCTCTGGAGGGTCGATCTTTCCTGTAGTGCAAACATGCTTTTTGGGACTCATGCTGATCTGAAATTGGCGCGTCTGCATCTCCATCGACTCCAACAGCGCTGCTACAGCTGCTACACCTGATTTACGTGACTCTGAGGTCTGAATCAGATCCTCAGATTTGAACCAGTGTTTCTCGCTGGGTTCCTACTCTGCTGGGTTTTATTTATAAAGAACAGGGTCTCTCAGGATGCGTCTACACTGCACCGTTATTTCAAGATAACTAGCATTATTCCGAAATAAGAATGTGAGCATCTACACAGCCATTCCGTTATTTCGAAATAATTTCGAACTAACAGATGGCTTATTCCGAAATCTGTAAACCTCATTCTACGAGGAATAACACCTATTCCGAAAAAGCTATTTCGAAACAAGGCATGTGTAGACTCTCCACTGCTTCTATTTCGAAATATCCCCTGTCCAGGGCCATTCTAAGTGATTCCTCGTGGGGTTCTAAATGGAGATAGCACGTCTACATTAGTGAAGCCTACCTCAGACTGATTTTGAGGCCTCCCAGCAGTGCAGACATGCTATTTCGGAATAACTATTCCGGAATAGCTTATTTTGAAATAAACATGCAGGCTGTGTCTACACTGGCATGAATTTCCGGAAATGCTTAAAATGGAATACTATTCCGTTTTCAGTTTTTCCGGAAAAGGAGCGTCTACATTGGCAGGCTGCTTTTCCGGAAAAGCCCTTTTTCCGGAAAAGCATCTGTGGCCAATGTAGACGCGCTTTTCCGGAAAAGAGCCCCGATTGTCATTTTCGTGATCGGGGCTTTTTTCCGGAAAAGACTACTGGGCTGTCTACACTGGCCCTTTTCCGGAACAGTGTTCCGGAATAAGGACTTATGCCCGAGCGGGAGCAGAATAGTTTTTCCGGAATAGCGGCTGATTTTGTACAGTAGAGCATCGTTGCTTTTCCGGAAATTCAAGGGCCAGTGTAGACAGCTCGCAGCTTATTCCGGAAAAGCGGATGATTTTCCGGAATAAGTGGCCCAGTGTAGACACAGCCGCAGTGTAGACATCCTCAGCCTGGAAGACCTCGGAGATGGCTTTGCTGCTCCACGAGCAGACTATTATTTAGACGGCACTAGTGCCTTATGCACAGACATCTGCTTCTATGAAAAAAATACTCCCAATTGCAGCATCATATTCATATACATTTTCTTTCTGCATAAAAGCAATTGGGGGGAAACAGGATGAATTAATTAATGTGCCTGCATTATGTATTAACTAAATCTGCTTGGATTTTGTGTCTTTTCTCCCCTTCTCCCTCCCACCCCCCCGTCTGGCTGACAGCATCTGCTGTCATCCTGCAAATGATTTCCTGGCATTTATTTTCAGGGCTGCTGTCTAGCACCTTTTGAGCTGCCTCAAAATGCCACCTTCCTTTCTCCTCCTCCGGAGAGTCTCAAAGAACACGGAATCGGAAACAATTAATCTGAGAGGGTTTATTATAAAGGTCCCTCGCCTGTCAGCCAGATGCTGATTCCTTGAGTTCTTTTCCGACTGATAACGTTCTTAAAAAGTGTCACTTGCGCTATTTCGTACCTTAGTGGTACTCTTAGGTGTAAGGATAAAGGGTACGTCTGCACTTAAACACTTTGCTGCAAATAAACACCCTGCAGCAGCAACACTCAAGAGCGTGGATTAACTGATTTTGGCTCAGAACAGAGCTAAAAGGAGTAGTGTAGCTCTTTGGGCTCAGGATTGCTGGGTTTCATAGCCCAGACTCCAGCTCGGAACATTTACACTGCTGTTTTTAGCCCTGACCACCCAGAGCTCCTTCAGTTGACGCAAACCCTGAGATTCACTCCCATGAGTCTTTTTTTTGCCATGACGGACACTTGTGTTCCTTCTTAGGAGGCTGGTTAGAATGAGAGTTAGGGTCTGATCCACAGTACAAGGAAGTCAACGGAAAGACATCCATTGACTTGTTTGGGAATTAGACAAGGCACTCAGGTCAGGTCTACACTAGACCTGGAAGGTCGACTTCAGGCACGCAGCTCCAGCGACATATTCTACGTCGCTGGAGCCAGTTTACCTCAAGGTGGGCGTGGCGATGTCCCCACAGATGCTGGCCAGAACTGCCCTCAGCGTTCAATTTACAGGTCTATACTAGACCTGCTAAATCGAACACCAGAAGATTGACCTCTGGAGTACAGATGTGGCCCTAATGAAGAAGACCTATAATGAGAGGAAGGTGCCATTGAAACTCTTTACTTTGCCCTGGCCTGGCTTTCAAACACTCCCCTGAGAAACCGCATCCCTTCCTGGAGGAGGCAAAGTGGGTTTTTTACACTGGTCATTCAGCACTGAAGACACAGGACCAGACCATCAGCTGATCTGACGGGGGGTGGAGAGAAGGTGGCTTTCATGCACCTTTTTGTTCCCCAATTCTGGACTGGCTGGGGGCCAAAAATGGTCCCACAGGGACCACTGCAATGGGTGAAGATTACGCCACGCTCCGGTCACTTCATCCCAGTCATGGCACGGCCCCTCCCTGCCCCCAGCGTGCAGGTGGTGTGGAGCCTCGTTGGCAGCTGGACTCGTCAGCTGTCCAATTAGAGGCTCTGGCTGAGGCAGCGGAAAGCAACCAGAGCAGGAACTGAAGATCGCTGGACTCGTCAGCTGTCCAATTAGAGGCTCTGACTGAGGCAGCAGAAAGCAGCCAGAGTAGGAACTGAAGATATGGCCAGTCAAGCCAACTGTGGGATAGGCCAGATGGGGACTGAGTGTGGTAACCACAGCTTAGCCCAGAGCAAACTCATATTCATTTCCTGCTATGCCTTGCCTGGCCACACAGAAAGTCTCCCACTTCCACAAGCATAACAAGATCTCCCTTATTTAAAGGCAAAGAGTTAATCAGAAGCAATTCTTCTGGAACCCTCCAGACAGACACGACTCCTTGGTATCAGTATATCTGTAGCCAGGAATTGTTTCCAATGTGTAAGTGTAACACCCTCAAACACCCAGCTACCCTGGACCGTCATCGCTGGGCAGGAACATCTGTCAAGACAGAGCAGCTGCGAACATCATGGGAGATCACACAGCGAATCTCTGTCGTCAGGATCCGTGCTAACCTGAATCAAGCCAGCTGCAGGGTTTCGCCTCTTCTCAAAGTGCTTCTGCCGATGCTGTTCTTGAACCTTCAGCGCGAAGCCAGAACCCAAAATGCCCTGGAAGAAAGAACAAGACCATCTGGAGTCATCTATGCATTAGCCTTGTTCTAAAAGGTTGTGTTTGTAATAGCCCTACCCTGACAGCTCTCTTCTAAAAGGTTGTGTTTGTAATAGCCCTACCCTGACAGCTCGCTGTTAGAATCATAGAACACAAACTGAAAGGGACCTCAAGAGATCAAGTCCAGTCCCCTGCCCTCACGGCAGGACCAAGCACCATCTAAATCATCCCCGATAGATGTCTATCCAACCTGCTCTTAAGTATCTCCAGTGATGGAGATTCCACAACCTCCCTAGGCAATTCATTCCAGTGTCTGACCACCCTGACAGTTAGTTTTTCCTAATGTTCAACCTAAACCTCCCTTGCTGCAATGTAAGCCCATTGCTTCTTGTTCTATCCTTAGAAACCAACAAGAACAATTTTTGTCCCTCCTCCTGGTAACACCGTTTTAGATACTTGAAAACTGCTATTATGTCCCCTCTCAGTCTTCTCCTTTCCACACCAAACAAACCAAATTCTTTCAGTCTTCCCTCCTAGGTCATGTTCTCTAGACCTTTACTCATTTTTGTTGCTCTTCTCAGGCCTTTCTCCAATTTCTCCACATCTTTCTTGAAAGATGCCCAGAACTAGACGTAAGACTCCAATTTTGGAGCCTAATCGACACAGAGTAGAGATTTGTTCTCTTCTCGTTTTCTGTCTCATCAAGAGCATCTTGTACTTCCCCTATCCCTAAGCTAATAAGTTCTACCTGCTATCAGATGCTATGACTGAGTGATATGGAGTCTGGGGGTAAATGTTTTACTTCTCTCAAGTGCTGCAATGAAAGGTTGCAGTTCTGTCAATTATCCCCACCAAGAAAAAAAAAAGCAGTGTTCTGAAATCAACTCCTTACCCTTTGCAACACTGACGGTGGTAGCTTAAGCCAATCATCGCCTTGGCCCAGAAAAGGCAAACAGCACTCGCACTGTGTTGTGACCATTTAGCAGACCAAAATCAAGGCCAAAAGTTTCAGTTATCCACATTTTTTTTATTTCTTTTGCAGCGCACAATACAGAATGTTTATCCTGTCCTCTAACTCCCACCGTGAGCCTTATCCATTCATATCTACAGAAGCCGGTCAGTAAGAAGAGCGGCGTCTCTCTGGTGTTGCTCCTCTATGTTGAGACAAAGAACTTGTGGGGAGCCAGAATGCAGCAATGCGCCGGAGTAGTATGAAACATATTACACTATTGTGGCTTAGCTATTTTTCTGTGATTGTTTCTAGTCTACAGAGACGTAAGCCTGAATGGACTGCAGGATTATATGGTTGTTTTCACGTTCCCTGAAATGCCACGTTTGGTGGCAGGAAATAAACAAAAAAAGACCAAGACCAAGCTTTCAAAAGCACTTTGCCCCTACAACTAGGACCCAGAGAGCTTGGAGTATTTTAATAAAGCCTTGAAGTTAGCAGGAGCTCAGAACTTTTGGAAAATCTGGCCCTGACCGAGGGTCAGAATGGGAGATGAAGTTATTGGAAACTCTGGCTCCAGTTACAGTGAACGCTAATCTCAAGGGCTTCAGTGCAACTAATTATGAAAGCTCTCCCCTATGGGCAAGGGTTCTTCCTTTGAACCCTTCCTCTCTCATAAACAAAGATTAATTCAAAACTCCTTTCATGCATCAGCCTTGGAACAGATCCTTTGCTGGTGTAAACCAATGGAGCGACACTGATTTATGTCCGCTCAGAATCCGGCTCTATGGATCTTATCCATGCAAAAGATGGAGCAGTTCTAATCTTTTAGTGCTCACTTCCATCCATGGGCATGTCAGGCATCCTGCCGCTCTTTGGGTTAAATCAGTGTTGACAGCTCTCATGACTTTACTAGGGAGGTAATATCCCGGTGAATCAGTTCACCGGTTTCCGGGCAGGGGACTGCTCCAGCCTGGTTGGAGCAGCCCCCAGCTGGTGGAGCTGCCAGCTCCTGCTCCGCCCCTCCATGCACAGTGCTGCCGCTTCTACCCCTCCCCCATGCATGGGACAGTCAGGTCCCAGCCCCCCCTGGGGCTGGAGCAGCAGGCCACAGGCAGGGGTCTGCTCCAAGCACCTGTTCTCAGGTACCCGCTAAGCATCATCCGTTCACATCCCTGGACTTTACCACAAGTCTCACAACATTTGATGTTTTTCTTATAACTCACCATGCACAGTGCTGCCGCTTCTACCCCTCCCCCATGCATGGGACAGTCAGGTCCCAGCCCCCCCTGGGGCTGGAGCAGCAGGCCACAGGCAGGGGTCTGCTCCAAGCACCTGTTCTCAGGTACCCGCTAAGCATCATCCGTTCACATCCCTGGACTTTACCACAAGTCTCACAACATTTGATGTTTTTCTTATAACTCACATTCCTGGATTCATGTGATGATGTGAGGCTCAATTCTTCTTGGGGTGTAGCTTTCATGGTTGCAATGGAAAACTCAACGGTGCAAACATTGCACATTAGAAAACCAGAAAGGAAAGCAAAATGGATCCCACAATATATCTTTTCAATCTCATGACTGCATCGAGTGGCCGCAGGGGGCCTGACTCATCAGTTTTGAACACGGGGTGCTGGCAATACTGGGATTTGGCCATTGAGCTGAAATCCTTTCCCTGCAATAAGGAATTGAATGTCTGCAAGGTCAGCAACATCCTCAAAAAAAAAAAATCTGGAGAGAGCCGTACAGGCGAGACGGCAGCCCCGGTGCACGTAATCAGGACTGTCTAGAGAAAAGATTGTGTTCTGCTTTTACAGTTAAGTCTGGGCGCTTACTCACAGCAGGAAGGGCAAAAAAGGAGACCCCGATGAGAGTGAAAGTTGCCGCCAGGAGACGTCCATTCCAGGTCTGCGGATACTTGTCCCCATAGCCGATGGTGGTGAGTGTAATCTGAGGAAAGAAAGAATCAAAGCTGGTTCACTCCAGGGCTTATACTGGAAAGTGAAACAACAGCTGAACGCAATTCTCTCTTCAGCACAATCTCTCCTTCCCCGGTTATTCCTAGTCCAGCTCCCAGGATGCTACCTTTCCATAGGATACGTCTCTATCTTAGTGATCACTAGAAGATTTACCCAGCGACGCTCCTTCACTCGAATAAGATTTGTTTTTCTTCATTTAAATCATTGCTCTGGGGTAGGGCTGGGAAAGAGAGGGTCAGTTTGCAGGATGCCCCAGGGAAAGAAGAAAACCACAGCCCTCTCTCACCGCAGCAGCTTGGGGCCAAGAGAGAAACGCCTCTCTGTGGCTGCTGCAGTTGGTGCAGCCAGTGAAGGGGTGCATGTCTCCCGCCTGGGGGACAGAAAGACCCACAAACAGATATGCAAACAGACAAACTCTCTGAAATATATAGTAGATAGCTGCCCCTTTCTCAATCCTTGCCTCCTGTTGACCAAATGGGGTTATAGCTGTCCCGGTCCACATCTCTGGCCCCTTGCTGCCCCCCTGTGGTCATTCTATAGTATGACTGTTCCTTCTACCAGCTCCCTCCCTTTCCATTTTATGAGAAACAATCAAATTCCAGGCACATCCCATTGTCCTGGCACAACCAAACCTGGATCTTGCTTTAAGTTATAAGAGGAAGCTGCATATCCAATTTGGTAGCTCTTACCATTTAGGAGCAGTTCTTGAACAAACTGACTCACAGACGGACAGACACACATTTCTAAAATATATAGTAACATAAATTAGGGCTATTCCTATAGCTGTACGTATGTTCAGTCGTGTTGGAACCTAGCAGAGACATTTATACAAGGTCTTTTATGTTCTCTATAGCAACCGAGCCACATTGCTGAGTACTTAGCTCACTGATGGCACAGGGCAGTGCAAAGTTCCTCCAACTGCTTTGTCTGTGCAGTAGCACCATGGAAACTGGTTTAGAAGAACTGAAAAACTGGTTGGAAGAACTGGGCCTGTTTAGTCTAGAGAACAGAAGATTCAGTCGAGACACGACAACCGTCTTCCAACATGTAAAATAGAAAACAATTGTTCTCCATGTCCGAGCAGGACAAGAAGTAATCAGCTTTGCAACATGGAAGATATAGATTAGTTATTAGAAATGTATAACTAAGGAGATAGTTAAGCTCTGGACTGGTTATTATCCAATTATGGACTCCCCATCGCTGGAGGTGTTTTAAGAACTGTGATAGGGTCAGGCCAGGGAGCTGCTGCAGAGAAGGGAAAAGGCAGCCCAAAAGGGAAAAAAACCCGTGAGAAGAAGCAGAGAACTGCAGCCCAATTAGATGTAGCTGGGAGGGAGCTGGCTCAGGCAAATTGGGGCCAGCTGACTTCTCGGCTGTCTGAGGGCATTTAAAGGCCTCAGCAGTTGGAGGCTGGAGGGGAGAGTGAGAGGACGAAAGGAAGGTGGTAGAGAGACAGAGAGGGAGAAATTGGAGAGAACAATTTTGACCAGCAATAGGTAAAGGTAGCTAGGGAGGGAGCCTGTGGGCACCTGGCTGGGCTCCCTACCCAGTGGTGGCAAGGGCCCCTCTTCCCCAAGCCACCACTGGGTAGGCCTCCTCCCCTCAGCCCCCGAGTTTGGGGTTTTGCAGTGGGTCTCAATGGCTGAGGCTTTTAAAGGCCCTCAGACAGACAGCAGAGAAGTCAGCTGGCATCTAATTAGGCTGCAGTTCTCTGCTTCTTCTCACAGGGTTTTTCCCTTTTGGGTTGCCTTTTCCCCTCTCTGTAGCAGCTCCCTGGCCTGACCCTGTCACAAACAGGTTAGACAAATATCTGTCATGGGAGACCTAGATATACTCAACCCTGCCTCGGTCATCTAGGTATCCCTAATCCCACGGCCTCTCAAGGTTCCCTTCCAGCCCTGCATTTCTACATTCACTCACAGCAGTGTCACAAATTCTTGGTGCTTATGTCTACACATCCACACTTAGCACAATGGCTGCCGCACGCAAACAGCCAGCTACCATCAACAACTTGGGGTCACAGATCCTCTGCCCAACAGGGGGAAATGGCATCTTGCCGAGGCAATTTCAGAGGTCTTTTGGCCATCTGTCTTGGCACTGGGAGCATCACCTGCCTCAGGCCCTCCCCTAGATCAGTGGATGTTTCATCAGGAACCTCCATATACAACTATCCCCGTGTCACGGTGGGGAAATCTGATGCTCAGAAGGGCAGATTTCATCCTTCCCAGGCAGCAGCTTGATCCTCCCCTACTTTGGGGCTGCCCTAGTGCCATGAATAGGGCACACATCCACAGACATGGGTCTCCCCAGCCATGCCTCCTTCCACCACACTCTGACTCTTCACTCTCTGGACCACACCGAGTCTGTCCCAGAGCCCTTGTGATCGGAGGGAGAGAATCCACAGAACGGTGCAAAGTTTACATCAACTCTAGCGCCCCTTTGGACCAGCTTAGCTTGCCTACGTTTACACAGGGAGTCTGTGACACTGAAACCAGAGCCTTGGATTCTCAGTCCAGTGTGATAACCACTAGGCCATCCTCCTTACATGCTGCGAAGAAGGGTACAAGCTGCTACTGCAGCCCCTCACAACAGGCAGCTTCTCTCATTCGATGGCTGAATACACATCACTGCTTTGGCTTATGCAGGTTAATCCAAAGCGCCTGTGTAGGAGACAAAATGGCTCCTTCTGGTCGGAGAACAATAACACAGTATTCCCCAAACCCACATGAAGCATTTCCGCCGAGGCCCTTTCAAATGAGGCAGGGATATTTCCATGCAGAAAGGTCTGAAACTGTTTATTCCTAACCCTTTCCAGCAGTGCCTATTAAATGGCTTCCCTTCCAATTTTAGAAGAGCACAGTACCCTGAAAGTACAAATTACTGCTGCATAAAATAGCCTGATTCACGAATTTCTCGTCCCACTCTTACTACACTATTCCAAGCAGGGGGCGGGGTCGTGTGCCATGGGAGATTTGCAAAGATACCCAGGAGCACTCGAATGCCGGAGGAGAGACAGGTACAGTCTTGCCCCACAGATCTGGCTGGCAAAGGACGGGGAAACAGGCTGGTGGCATCCAGCTATGGAAAAATCCACCCTGGATAGGGTCACAGAAGGTTGCAACCCTGGCAGTCCGAAGTGGGCGGAGCAAGCCAGGAGAGGGTGGAGCAAACAGGAATGCGCTGACCCAAAACATCTCCCAGGAAGCTTCTGCAAGCAGCACTCCCACATGTCACTCTGAACTTGAACTTGCCCCTCCTCCTCAAGTGCGTTGGGCACAGCTGCCTCGGAGGGTTCAAATAGCATTGGGACTAAGGAAGCCTTAAAACACGCTCATTTTTAAAGGAAGAAAAATATAATCAGTGGCATTTCCTAGACATAAGCACTGCCAGCGCCTTCTCTCAGATGCCATTTAGACCTAGCACTTCGCAAAATGCATCCTAATGGTTGATTTATATTGAAACACACGTGGAAACAGCTTTATTTAGTAGTCCCACCAACCTTAGTATCTTTAAGTTAATCAAGAGGACTTAAAGAGTATGTCTAGCCTACACGGCTCTGTTGCCAGAGCCATGTAGATTAGTTTACTAGACAGACCCAAATGAAGCTGCGATTTAAATAATCGCCGCTTCATTTAAATTAAAATGCCTGCCGTGCTGAGCCGATCAGCTGTTTGTTGGCTCAGTGGGCTAGTCTGGACGCTCCGCAGTCGACAGCAAAGGCATTTGTCGACCACCCCGTTATGCCTCGTGGGATGCGGTTTACCGGGGCGGTCAACAAATGCCTTTGATGTCGACCACGGAGCGTCCAGACTAGTGCGCTGAACCGACAAACAGCTGATCGGCTCAGCACGGCAGCCATGTTAATTTAAATGAAGCGGCGATGATTTAAATCGCCGCTTCATTTGGGTCTGTCTAGTAAACTAATCTACATGGCTCTGGCGACAGAGCCATATAGTCTAGACATACCCTGAGATGCTCCTGTACAGATTGTAGTAGGGAGTTAGCTAGGCCAGAGCCACTCCGTTCAGATCCAGAGAAGAACCCAAACAGTTCCCAAAAGCTGGGGGTGAGTCTTGCATTTGGAGTCTGGATTCAGACCTCTGTCCATGCTGTGATTGATTTGTGCTGAAGAAGTACCTACAGGCTAGGACCCCTTTGTGCTAGGTGCTGTAAAAGAGATAGACCCTTGCCCTGAAGCACTCACAGTCGAAGCAATATGTGATCAATTACTCCGCCATCTCAGAAAGTGTTGTTGCAGACGTACAAAGGAAGGGTTGGACTTGGATACAAACTTATTTTCGGTATCTTGTGTCCTATGCCATT